CACTATGGAAGTTTAGCTCTAACATGAACAAACATAATGCCTAACACATCGCACAAAACAACCAATGCGCTCATAGTGTATAGCTAACTCAAACACTCCGCATTCTCCTCATACGGATATACGATATCATAATATGCGTCGATAGTCCAGACATCTCTGAACCCCCGCACTCCACCACTATGCGTCGATATGCAAACGTCTCTGCACCCCGCACCACACAAATATGCGTCGCTAGCCCAAACGTCTTTGAGCCCCCGCACTCCAATATGCGTCGATAGCCCGGATGTCTCCGAACCNATCACATAATCCATACTTTATAATATATATTTATACTTATATATGTATTTAACCATTTAACATCAATCAATCCAAACAATAGTTGAATCCTCTAGACCTCCTAATTCCGGTTTACATTTAATAACCTAACTATCAAGCAAGACTCAACCAGACTCAATTCAAACAGACGGATCATGCTTCAAAATCTAAACTAAGATAGAAAGAATTCTACACGAGTATTGGGATTCACGGAATAGACTCTCACCTTTGCCACTGGCTGGAATGATCAACGAAAGATCGTCAGCTGAGGTCAACTGCAACACGAGGGAAATCAACGACTTAGGCTCAGAGTCTCTAGAAATAAAGTTTCCTAAAATAGAAACTTTCCTAAAATAGAAACTTTCCTAAAATAGTAGCTTTCCTAAAAGGCGGGTTTCCTAAACTAAAATTCCCCTAACCAGAACTTAACAAAACTAGAAATAGAGAGGCGATAAACTTACCGGAACTATCGCCCAAAAACTCGCCCGGAGGCTTGACCGAAACTCTCGCCAGAAAAAATTACTTAGTGACTGGTCGTCGAATAATTCAATAACTTGTCACACGCAAAGAAATACTTTGACTTGATGAGAATAAAAGAGAAGGGGAAAGTTTATTATATAGGGGAAGGGAAAGGAGGTAAACTTTCTAAACTTCCAATGTGGGACAAAGTAAAATACTTGAGAATTTTAATTACTAGAGAAAATGGGCCTACCTAGGTTTTGGGTCGTTACAATAAATTTGGTTTAAATTACTAGTCAGACTCGAATCACCTATACATCATAATACCATCATTGCATTCGTGGGCTGTGGATAACTGGTCAGCTACTTTTTCAGCTCTTGTTGACTTTAAAGCACTCGAATATAGCCTATTTGCAGTAAAAGAACCACTCCAAAGACAATTCTAACATGTTTGATTGAGGGGGTTGCTATTTATTTCCCAAAAATGCACATGTTGATTGAGGGGATTGCTATCTATTTCCCAAAAATGCACGCAATTTCTTTTGCAAAGTACTCCATCTTTTCATAATAAGTGTCGTATAATATTTCATGGGACTTGAATTTAACTATTTTTAGCAAAGAAAAGATAATTAGATAAATTTGTTGTTTCAAACACTAGATAATGAACTCGTGCTAATCACTTGAAAACTCATTTATAAAATTAAATATTAAGACAATTTTTTAGAAAATCCGTTTACAATTTATTTTACGAAAATACATGTATTACAAAATTATATTACATAAAATTATATTATTTTATTGACAATATCAAAAATCTATTATTTTTACAGGTTTGGCTGTAATAAAATTACAAACATGTTAATAAAATCTATTATTCAAAAATCTTGAAAACAACGAAATATTTGAAATTAATTAAAAATAAACACATTTCAATCTAACCATTTATTAAATTAGTAGGGTAACTTATAACAACAAGTAGACTATTATGATTTGTTTGAAACCATGAATGATGTGTGTAGTCAAAAACATGATTAGATGGTAGTTTTAAGATATATTATTCCTTTACATTTTTCTGTTTAGCATATCACCCATACATTATGTTTTCTTAGGAAATCTAGAAAAAATAAAAAAATTATTAAAAACAAACTAAAAATCTAATTTGCAATGAGATGGATTTTAAACCTTCAACATAATTTTGAATTTCCAGTTGAAAAATCTTCCATAAATAAAGTATTTACTTACTTACAAATTAAGAAACATATTTTGAGATAACATTACATAACCTGAAATAATCTTAAATTGTTTGTCCTTCCTAAGTATCACCACATAAAATGAAATTGTTAATATCTCGATAATTCATCTATTAGAAAAAATTAAGACTAAAAACTCCATTTCATTTAGGATTTTTCAACTGGAAATTCGAATGGCTCTTCCTAATTTCTAACATTCCATCTCAATATTTTCTAAAAATTTGTAAGGATAAATATACTAATAAATTTGTGAAAGCTTTACAGTGAGGAACTCATAGACATGAACTATTATAGATTTCCAAAGATCTATGTAAAATTCACGACTTTTAGATTTGAGATAGTTAGTTTATGAATATTTACAGTATATTTTGAATAGATATATCACATCATTGCATACATATATATAAAGACTCTTTATTGCAAAATGAAAAGGCCCATAATTGTATAGAGACACTTATTGTGATATTTTAACAATTAAAAATGGTTGTCTTTTATAATGAGAATACACAATTCTTAAAACGAAAAATTGTAGAAAAACATTTTTTGAAAGATTTTAATTATATTTTGAACTAATTTATTTTTATAATGAAAAAGACACAACTATTAAAACTAACAGAGTTCACTTTTGTTAAACAAATATATTTTTATAATGAAAACACAACTTTTAATATTAACCGAGTTCAGTTTTTCACAAAAATACATAACATTTTTAATAATGTCAAACCCAAATTCTTAAAACTAATATCATTCATTTTTTTAATGAAAAGACACAATTTTTAGCACAACTGAGATTCTTATGATTAATTTTTATTTTATAATGAAAAAAACACAATTCTTAAAATACTTACTGGGATATTTTAACTATTTTTAAAATTAATTTATTTTTAGTGAAAAGATACAACTTTCAAAACTAATAGAATTCAATTTGTTTTATGAAATGACACAACTCTTTTCATAATCAAAAGATACAAAACTTAAATTAATACATTCAATTTTTATGAAATACACAACTTTTAACATTAATTGAGATTTCTTTTATTAATAGACCATTTACCATTTTCGACCTAAAGCCGTTTGTGGTCTTCCATGCACCAACTTTTTATGTCAAGTAAAGAAACTCAATTGATTGCATTATGAAAATACTTACAATTAATTATTGGAATATACTTATTGAGATATTTTAACAATTTTTAGAAAATAATTTATTTACATAATGAGAAACACAAATTTTAAAACTAATAAATCTAGAAAGACTTTAATTGGGATAGTATAATTATTTTTTTAAACTAATATATCTTTTTCAATGAAAAGATACAACTCTTAAAACTAATAGAGTTTATTTTTTTATAAGAAAAAATAACTTTATTTATAACAAAGAAACATAACTCTTGAAATTAATAGAGTTCAATTTTGTTTTAATGAAAACATACTTTCTTTTCAATAATGTAAAAAACATAGTTTTTAAACTAATACATTTCAGTTTTTTTTTTAAAAAATTAAAAGACAAAATTTTATACATTAACTGAATCTTCTATTATTAATTGTTCTTTTATAATGAGCACACACACTCTTTTCTCGTGCAATGAGAAAACAGACTCTGAAAACCTATTTTAACTACCCGTTAAACTAATTTATTTTTATATAGTGAAAATATACAAATTTTAAAACTAAAAAAAGTTTTTTTTTTCTTTGAAAAGATACAACCTTTAAACTAATATATTTCAGTTTTTTATGAAATGATAGAACCTTTCAACATTAAATAAAATTCTTTTTATTCATATATATTATTTTTTTCCAATGAAAAGATACAATTATTAAAAGTTTAAAACTAATAGAGTTCAATTTTTATGAAAAGAAAAAAATTATTTGTAATGAAGAAACACAACTCTTGGAACTAATAGATTTCAGTTTTAATGAAAATAAATAATTTAATTTGTAATGAAAAAAATACAATTCTTGAAACGAATATAGTTCAGTTTTTTTTTTTTATGAAAAGACATGTTTTTTAACAATGTAAAGACACAACAGAAACTTTTAAAAGTAATACATTTCAGTTATTTTTGTATGAAAGACACAATTTTAGACATTAAGTGAGTTTTCTTTTATTAATTAAAGACAACTTTAAAACTTATTTTAACGATTTGTTAGACTAATTTTGTTTTTATATACAGAGATACAACTTTTTGAAACTAACAAAAAAATTTCTTTTAAAAGGTGCAACTTTTTCTCATTAAAAAATGATACAAATTTTAAATTAATATATTTCAGTTTTCAATGAAAAAAATGCAATTTTTAACATTAAATTGGATTGCTAACTAATTTTTATTTTTTTATAATAAAATAATATAACTTTTAAAACTAACAGATTTTTTTTTGAAAAGACATAATTTTTTTTTATAAGGAAAAGATACAACTTTTAAACTAATATATTTCAGTTTATTTATGAAAAATATATTCTTTCAACACTAAATTGAATTGCTATTATTAATAAATTGTCAAACTAATTTATTTTTTATAATGAAAAGATATAAATTTTTAAATTTAACAGATTTTTTTTTTTGAAAAGGAACAATTTTTATTATAATGAAAAGATACAACTTTAAACTAATATATGTCAGTTTTTATTAAAAGATATATAATCTTTCAACATTAAATTAGATTGCTATTATTAATAGATAAAATTAATAAATCCCATATTATATGCCATGATGATAAATGGCGTTCGTTGACAAAAAAAAAATGGCGTTCTATAAAAAAATATTAAAATTAGAATTTAGAGACACAGTCTTTGTTTTATTATCCGTTAAATATTTGTTATGAGAATTAAATAAAAGAGATAATCCTTAGTGTTATCCGGCCCTTGTGCGAAGCATGACCTTTTCTCCACAGATCACAACGACACGTGTCAACACGTAATTGACTTTCACAAAACGTATTAAGACAGGTGAAACTCTGTCAGCTTAGCAAAATCCTTTTGGTTCTCCTCTCTCATCTCTCTCTCTCTCTTAAAAGAAAGCAAAGAAGAAAGGTTGAGTAGACATTAGGCAAAAAAAAAAAGAGAAATCTTCGATCCCCCAAATTCGAAACTTTGATCTTAGGGTTTGCTTATAATCATCGATTATCCATCGGTTACTCTCCGATCGGCTCATCTCCGTCTCGCCGGCGCCTGATCGGATCATGGTGGTGATTTTGAATTTATCAAGATTTCGATTTCATCTCGGATTTCTCTGCGGATCGTGTGATAAACTTTAGGGTTTTCGTTGTTAATCGTGAATAATCGTGTATATAAAAAAAAGACTGGATTTTTAGGGTTTGGGGAGGATTAGATTGTTGTTTGTGTTTGTTGTGTGTGTGTGTTTGATCTTTGAGTGAGGAATTATGTATATCGAAGACGTGACTGAGAAGGAAGAGAAAGGGGAGAGATCGGTGGAGGAGGAGGTTAGTGATGGAGATAAGGGGGTGTTGGTGAGGAGCAGTGGAGAGGTGGTTGTGTTGACGACGAAGATGGCACTTGTTGGTGTTGGTGCTCGTGCCTTGTTTTATCCTACGCTGATTTACAACGTTGTTAGGAATAAGGTTGAGGCTGAGTTTCATTGGTGGGATAGGGTGGCTCAGGTAAAAATAAAGTTATTGTCTTTTGAGTTGGTTTCATTGAAAGTTGGTTACTTTGTTTGTTGGGTCTCTTGGCTTATGCTAATGAGTGTGTCTCACTGTTGATTTGTGTTTGTGTAGTTTATATTACTGGGAGCTGTTCCGTTTCCATCTGATGTCCCACGGCTGAAGGAGCTTGGTGTTTGTGGAGTCATCACTCTGAATGAGCCTTATGAAACTTTGGTTCCATCATCTCTCTACAAAGTCTGTTATTTTTTCCGTCTTTTTCTCTGACTATCTATCTTTTGGTTTCTTATTATTTACTGACATTTGTTTAACTTTACTTACTCTTGTGGAAGTCTTACTGCATTGACCATCTGGTGATTGCTACGAGAGATTATTGTTATGCACCTTCCATGGAAGCGATATGTCAAGCTGTTGATTTTATCCATAGTAAGTGTACCCTTCTCGTTTTATTCTTTTTTACTTTTCTTTGTTGCGGTTGTTTGACTCTTGTTTTATCTCGTTGAAGGAAATGCTTCTCTTGGGAAGACGACTTATGTTCACTGCAAGGCGGGTCGTGGCCGCAGCACAACTATCGTCTTATGCTACTTGGTTTGTGTTGTTATTAATCACATAAACAGTTTGCTTCATGATATTTTTTTCTCTCTCTGATTATATCTTTGCAATGCAGGTGCAACACAAAGACATGACGCCTGAAGAAGCATATGCCTACGTGAGGTCAATCAGGCCTAGGGTGAAACTAGCTTCCACCCAATGGAAGGTAATCCACAAGAGAACGTTCTTTGTTCTGTTCTTTGTTCTTCGTCTTCTTCAGTCTCTGATTCCTAATCTTGTCTGCAGGCGGTTCTTGAGTACTACAATGTCAGGGTGCTGAACACCACACAGAGTTCCTTAACTGATGCAACCTCAGCTCTGATCCCAAGTAGTACGAAGCAGGTTTGTTCTGGGAATGTGGTTGTGTTTGATGATGGGTCGGTGGTGGTAGTGACCCACTCGGATGTAGAAGGCTATGATGATGATGTCTCAAGGAGGTCAATGAATGTTGCTGCTGGGAACGAGTTATGGGCGGCAGCTGCAGATCTGAGCATGGTGTACCGTGTGAAAGTGGTGGGACAAGCTGCCTTAGCGAGGATCTCTTGCATGTGGCTGGGCTTGCGCGAGGATCAAAAGCTCTCTGGGAAAAATCTTTCCATGAGAGGTATAAGCGTCGACATTTCTGTCTACTGATGATGATGAAAAATGATGAAGTTGAGTCTTGGCGAGCTTAGTGAATGTACCCTTTTTCACTGTGCTCCTCAGTAAAAAAGAAAATAAATAATAAGGGTTAAGTTAGATATAGAAGACAACAATGGTTTGTAAAACTCTGCAAACACAAAAAAAAAGACTTGGTTTTGTCGTCTGGGTATTGTAATGAAATACATGAATTAATCTTATTTTCGAGTATCCAAGTTAAGTTTGTGACCTTTTGATAAGATTTAAACTATAAGATGACTTCACAGTAAAAATATTTATGATCTCAGTATACATACACATTAATGCCTAAGGAGTTCAGGTTTTTGAAGAACCAAAGAGAGGTTCACACTCAAAGTTTGTGTGTTCCAGCATTGGTCCAAGCCTCACTAACTTTGGTATAACAACATTGTCCCTCACGGAACACACAAGAGGATTATCCCATTGCAGAAGTGCTCCAACTAGATTTGCACGTACTGTCAAAGGGAACGCCCGTGACCATCTCTCGCTCCCATATGATTCCATCGCCTCTTCTACTGATTCACTCCCTCCGTTTATTGCATTGGCAAGTTTATTCGCAAGAACAACTGAATCTTCCAAGGCACAGCAAGCACCTTGACCAAGATTTGGAGTCATTGGGTGCCAAGCGTCTCCAACAAGAACCACTCTGCCTTTTGATGCTGGAGGAGCAACGCCAGGCCATAGCCACCTGTCTACAAGAGGAGTTCTGCTGATTGTTTCATCAGGTGTTAGGTCGATAAGGTCTTGCAGATCTTTAGGCCATGTACTAACTAGTTCTTTGGCTTGTCTTTTGAGGATAGCTGGATCTGTTATCTTCGGCCCTGCTTATCTCAAGAATTGTCATATAGTTCTTGAAAGAAGAACACTATGTTTAATGTTGAAATGTGTACCTAGAGATGGGCTGTTGAAGCATATGAACCAGTAGACTTTTGTAGAAGAGACAGGTACATATCCTGCTCTAAGCCCTCTTCCGTATATGTAGTTAACCTTACTCTGAAATGGCTGTCCTTCTGGATAGAAACCAAGTCCTCGGAAGGCGCAGTGACCAACATATCTTGGCTCACTGAACCCCATCCAAGTAGCTACTTTAGACCGGATACCGTCACAACCAATAACAATCTATCAAAGACATAACATCACCAAATCAGCCAAAGCATATAGTTTCTGGTCATAGTACCTCAGAAACAATACCTTTGCAAGCAGTTTGCTTCCGTCTTCAAGTTCAAGCTGAGTATCACCATTAACATTGCTTTGTATTGTTTTAAGTTTTGAAGAAAACTTAATGGTTTCTGGAGGCAACTGGTTAGCTAGTGTTTCCAAGAGTACTCTTCTCTCCACCGCCCGGACTTCTTGGCTATATATAGACATGCTTTGGTTACTTACATGAATCAAACCAATTAGTGCTCTCAACCATCTTCATGAGCAAGTGCCTAACCTTTGATCTTCGTCTTTAAATGTAAAAGTACGAAGCTCTCTTCCATCTCCATTTTTCACTACCATCCTGCTCAGCTGATCATACCAACACACTCAGCTAAAACCAACAACAAAATCTCACCATTTTTTGGAACATAAACTGCTAAACATAGTGTCAAGTTGTCTATATGATTAGTGTTTTGTTTGGTTTCATCAGAACTAAACTGTACCCTTCGATTTCGAGGAACTGCGTCCGGAGCTGAGGCCCAACGGAGATAGCGTCAAGAACACGCCACCCATTCTTGAACAGTGTCAGAGATGTTCCTCCGGTTCGAAGCGACTCTGCTTGCTCCAGCACAACCGACCGGACTCCTAGACTAAACCAATCAAAACCAAAATCTTCGGTTCAGTTCGAAGTAAATCTAAAGAACTGCGAGTTTTGTAGTTCGTAACTCACCGGTGAAGAGAAACTGCAGTAGCGAGACCGCCAATACCGGCGCCAACAATCACTACCCTCTCCTCTCCATCACCACCGCTTGTTTGAGCTCTACTCACGTTTAAACAAACCGGTTTTGATCCGGTTCGAACCGGGAATCTTCTGCCTAAAGGTGATGGTGAAGAGATCGGAAGCACAAGAGACATTGCCATAGCCTCCTCGCTTGTGGATGTTTTTCAGGTGAGGACAAGTGGATACTGTTTTATTCAATTTATTTTTCAGACATACTTATTAGTGTTATATGTAGTTAATATGCAGCCACGTGGTTAAAAGCTCATGTGACAAAAAATCTTCCACATCCTTCCTCTCAAACAACACCATGGTGATTAAGTCACTTTGGTTATGAATCTCATGGCTGCTGAGTTAGTTCATGTTTCCGATATCATGAACAAGAAGCATAAGGTTTCCTTTTTGACATAGCGTACTAGTCAACATGAGTTTGTATTAGGTCACATTTTGGATTTATTTTGTTACAAACACTCATGTGGTACTACAAGTGTACAAACAAATAGTTATTCTCAATATGGTATCAACATTCAACATATTCTCAATATGGTATCAACATTCAACAAAAAAACCTTTTGAAACATATTGAGACTTCTTTGATCTTATCTAAAACTTTAGGAAGAAGCATGAACATATTTACCCACAAATCCAAAAAATAAAATAAAAAAATAATCATATTTGCCCACCAATCCAAAACCAACAACAAAGAAGGATGTTGATTGCAATAGAAGGTACACATAGTGTGTTCTTCTTCCCATATATGATGCTATCATAGCATCCGCAGAACAATAGGTAAGCTCCAGCAGATGCCACCCTACAACACTAATAACATCTTATTTAAGTTCACACTCAATTCAGGCTCAAATCAAATCCAATATGAAAAGTTTAACCGAAAAATACAAAAGTTAAATAACCAAGTACATTGGTCCAATTTCCAGTATAATGTTTATATATACAACTTGCTTCTGTTTTCCCTCTTCTTTACAAGTTAAATAATTATTTCTCCTCACAAGCCTTCTCCTTCTTTATGAATCATATAATTATTTTTCTTTCATTAGAATAATGAATCCAAATCAAAATCATATTCGAAATGTGTCTGTCTCTAAGAGTAAGTCTATGCAAGCAATGAAACTTCTTAAGCAAAAAGATGATGAAATCTCTGAAATATGCGGTGCCGAGGTCGCCGTTGTATATTTTTCTACCAAAAAACGTTTAATCAATCTCTAAATTGAGAAGTATGTGCACCGCTTGCTTAAATTCCACGAATAACTTTCTCAACATTAACTCATTATGAGAGAAATATTCCAAATTGATTGTCGTTAACGTTTGATTAAGAGAATCGATGTCCCAACCAAAGATCCTCAAGGCAAGATAAAGATAATTGTGATCTCAACACCACATAGTTTGTTGTATAAGAGATGATGAATTTTATAAATTAACCGTCTATTTATACTAAATTTCACTCTATGCATTTTTTGTGCACTCCATCTTTTACCAAAAAAGAAAGATAATGACTTTGGTTAAGATAAAGATGATGGCTTTTATAAGTTGTACAATTAAACAAGATAAAAATAACATAAAATTTAGAGCATTTCAAAATTATATTATTTGTTTTTACTCACAATGAGAAGAAAAATTTACCAAATCTATGTCTGTAAGAGCGTGAACAGTCTCAAGGTTGGTACGAGGATTCTCAGCATTGTATTGTTCCACCACCCTCTTTAGTCTGAGACATGAGTTAAATGAAAAAAGTCTCAGATCTAAAAAAATTTACACAAACAAACTTAAAACTAATTTGGATGTTCGTGAAAAAAGAGAAAAAACTTCGCCGTGAGCATAACAAATCACTCCAACCTAAGCACCATAATTTTCCACAATTTCATAAGACTTCTCTGTAAAAAAGTCCCATTGCTACATTGACGTTTGTCTCCATGACTCAGTAGAGAAAAATTTGAGAAGAAAAATGATTGACTTTGGACTGAACAAAGAAGAAGAGAGAAGTCAGTCATCCACACTCATATATGACAATCAATTATTGGAGGTTGGCAGATCCACGCGCAAACATAATAAAGTGAAGTAGTAGTTATACAAAAGGAAAAAATATCAGTACTATACATTAAAAAGATTTGATTGTCTTTCATTATGGGTTTTGTATCAATATATGCATAGAAGATTTAAGTATATTTTAAATAACAATTGGAACAGTTTCAAAATCTATCAAAATGCAATGCTGAGAAAATTAAAACATGTTTTGGTATGTACATTTGTGTAAATCATCTTAAAACTAATTATAGTCAAGGACAACAAAAACATATATTTGGTATTTGTATTAATAACCAATATATTTTTTATTGAAGGTTGGGCAGGTCCACACACAAACACAAACATAATAACATAAAGTAGTAATTATACTTCTCAACATCAACTAATTATGTGAGAAATCTTCCAAACTGATTGTCATTAACGCTTGATTAAGAGAATCAATGTCCCCACCAAGATCCTCAAGGCAAGATAACAAATAATTGCTATTCAACACCGCATAGTTTGGTGTATAAAAGATGATGAATTTTATAAATTAACCATCTATTCATACTAAATATCACTCTGTGCATTTTTGTGCACTCTACTTTTTACCAAAAATTGACAATGACTCGGTTAATATTAAGATGATGACTTTATAAGTTGCACAATTGAAGAAGATAATAAGAAAATAAAATTTCGATTGTGTCTATATTATTTGTTTTTCATCGCAATGAAGTTTATCTCTAACTTTTATTAACACTCCATAACATTTTCCTATCACATTATATCAATTTTCATCCTAAGAACACATTAACATTATGTGTTACACATTACTTATACTAGATAATCTAATCAGGAAAATATAAAAAAATTAATTAATAAAGTTTAATTATTATATAAACCATGAAAACAACTATTTCTTTTATTTTACATAAAATATATTTAAAATATATGAATCTAAAAATGAAATTTATATAAATCAATAACTCTATTAATTAACAGAATATTACAAGTTTAACATTTTTAATTTATACATTTTTATTGTGTATAGTGATTAGTGAGTCCCCCTAAAATAATGTTCCATTACTATGCTAAGTCAGGCCCTGCCTAAATTATCAATACATTTGTATTTTCTTCCATAGACCATGTTTCATTCAAACTCCACATTATCATGTGAATCTGTATCTAGATGAGTTATATGGTCCATTGTGGCTAAGAAGCAAAGCTTCAAGAAGTCTAAGGGAATTTTTTTCCATTGATAAATTTTACGAAATGAGGTTTTAGACAATAAAATATAAGATTTTAATATAATGTCATTACTGAATTAAAATTTAAATAAATTGAACCATTTATGATCACTATTAAACAAACCGGTTTTGATCCCGTTCGAACCGGAAACCATCTGTTGCTTCTGGTTAAAAATTGGCGATGTGAGGACGAAAAATCAGAAGCACAACGTTGCCAAGAAGAGTTTGTATTACAAACACTACAGTGGGTAAATACAAGTGTATGTTATAGCATTTTTCTCAGACATCCTAACAAAAAAAGGTATTCTCAATATAGTATCAACTAATAACCTTTTGAAACATATCAAGACTTCTTTGATCTATCTATGACCTTAGGAGGAAGCAGCAGCATATTTGCCCACAAATCCAAAACCAACAACGAAGAAAGCCGTTGACTGCAATAGAAGGTACACATAGAGATAGAGTGTGTTCTTCCCATAGATGATGTCATAGCATCCACAGAACAACAAGTACACTCCAAGCAATAGCTCCAGCAAATGCATTCTGCAACAAAAATATTAATATCCGGTTTATTTAAAGCCCAAAACCGGTTAAGGCTCAAACCAAATCCAATATGACAACACATCTACTTTACCTATCTTTAAGTCTGACATGATGTTCTTTAGATTCTTGTCCAATAAGCTTCGTCTTGAGACCATCACCTAGTTTCTCTGTCACAACCCATTCTTGTACTCTTCCTGTCTCAAACAATCCCATGACAAGAGCCTTTGTTCTAAGCATGGACATTGCATTCTCAAACAGAACCCAAAACACCAAAAGGTAGACTGATCTTGGTTTACCAATTGCTATAAAGAGAGTGATCAAAGCAGGGAGATAAAACGTTGCCCATTTAGGAACTGTGACTTCAGGAAACAGAACACTCGCTGGCAAGATAACACAGTAGAAGCAGAAGGTGAGGATGTGAGCAACGACCTTGCGCATAAAGAAGAAGCTATACAACATATACAACTTCTTCCATAGAGAAACATTCTCGCTTTTTACTATTTTTCCAGCCATTTTCCTGAATAGGTTGGCAGGGCCACAAGTCCAACGATGCTGCTGGCTACGTAGGGCGTTGAAGGAACAAGGTAACTCACTTTTCACCTTGAGATCATGGAGATATAGTAGTTTCCAGCCTCTGAGTGTAGCTCTTACAGCTATGTCCATGTCTTCAACTGTTGTCTGATCATTCCATCCTCCGGACTCATTCAACGCTGAGATTCTCCACACACCAGCGGTTCCTACAACAGTTATATACTATTAGGAAAAAGCTTAATTGATAAACAGAAGAAGGCACTATGTTTACTATACCATTGAAACCAAAGAAGGCAAATGTTGAAGAACCAACTTGTTGCTCTACTGTGAAGTGGTAGCTTAAAGACATCTCTTGCAGTCTTGTCATCATGCATTGATCAGCATTCACTGTGATGATGACATGAGATATGTTTAGCAAAATTAAAATTTCAAAAATGAGGAAAGGTGTGTAAAGGAATGTTTTACCAAACTCCCAACGGCCTTGAACAAGTGCTAACTTGGGATTGTGGATCAAGAAAGGAACAGTGCGGTGGAGGAAGTCAGGTTCAGGCTGGAAATCAGCATCAAAGATAGCAATATAGTCACACTGCTTCACATAGCTATGTTTCATTCCTTCTCTCAACGCTCCAGCTTTGTATCCGTTCCTGTTATCTCTTATCTCAAAGGTTATGTTGACGCCTTCTCTTGACCATCTCTCACACTCCCTTCTCACCAGTTCCTGTTTCCTTCCCATTATATGCCACATACCAAAAATGTTTATAGGTCTAAGTGTCTATAGAGGTGTTAACAAGGACCTTACTGGCTGGATCTGTGGAGTCATCAAGGACTTGAATAATTATACGATTCGATGGCCATGAGATTTTGCAAGCAGCTGCAATTGATTGCTCACAAACCTATAGAAACCACCATCAAATGAGTGTAACTACATTACCAAAGTAGTATAGTTTGCTTTGGTTGTGTTACCTCCTTTTCATTGTACATAGGTATTTGTACAAGAACCATAGGGAAGGTTTCACTGCCACACTCAACATCCTCCATAGCTTCCCATTTGTAAACTTTCTCTGGTTTTCTCTTGAACAACTTGACATATGCTACCACAATCCCCATGTAGAGTACCTCAATGAAGTACATCATAGACATGATCAAACATAGAGTCACTAGGAACTTGAAGACAGGGACAATCACTATAGCTCTGGCTTGTTCCCACCAGAGGCTGATTCGGGTAACGATTTCTTCTGATGCAGGCATGGACTTGAAGGTGTTGAAGAATGTTTCAGAGCTTTGAGATTGAGACTTCAATGAGAAGTAAGAAGATTAAGAAAACCAAATAATTGGCCCTCTAGTTTAATACAAACAAACCAATCTTTAATGCACTAAACGACGAACTTGACAGACAAGACAAAGAGTTGGTAGATCTAAATCAATGTAGAGATCAAGAAAGAGTAATGACGAAAAGGGTTTCTATGATTTAGTGAAAATCAACAAGATCAAGAAAGATCCATTCATTCAAGAGAAAATGTTTGATTGAAAAGACGTACCAAGTAACAAAGATAAAAATAAAGGAAAAGAAAATCAAAAGCAGACGTAGATAACAAGCAACCTGCAACATTTGTCATAGAGTTAGGGAGAGAGTGTGAACCAGAGAGAGGAGAAAGGAAGAGAACGTGTCGTGAGCAAGACGGTGGAAGCTTGTAAGAGGAGACATTGAACAATCTTCGGTCCTGCTCCCAACGAATCGCAGCTTCCTCTGTTTCTCTGTTTCTGTCTTTTCTTTCTGTAGTCTTGGAAGTCAACGGGGAATTTTCATCGGCCAAGTGGGACCAACTCTAATTTCATTTAAATTATTGTTTTATTTTCTTCCTATTAAGAAACAATGGTGGTATCAAATTATAGTTAGAAACTCATAACTACTTTGACACGAGCACCTTGGAAACAATGTTTTGCTAATACTAATAATGTCAGAAAATTAAAATAAACATTTATGTGCTACTTTAAGATATCTTCTTTGTAATCTTGAAAAGAAAAATAACCATGCTAAAACTTTAGAGAAGAAAATAATGTTACTACTTCTCTCAAAAATAAAATAAAATAATAATGTTTCTTGAATTCTAAGACAAAAAAGGAAAAAAAAACTACTATATTACATATCACCTGCTTACATTTTTTTTAAAACAAAATAAATATATAAAAATAGGGTTTGAGAGGGGCTTTAACGAGATCGTGAAAACAAAACTGATTGGGAAACGGAAGCTCCAGGCAAGAGCGATGTCCACATCCTTCAGGTAATTAATCTAATCCCAAATGTTTCTCTAGGTTAGGGTTTTGTTTCGTTCGTTGTTGATTTTGGTTCTCACCTGACCTAATTATTTGTTCTTTTGTAAAGAACTACACGCAGCTCTGTAAAGCGAAAGCTCCAGACTATACAAGATATCCAAGAATTGGTACGATACACTATCGATGGATGTGAAAGAACAAAACACGCAACTTTTGTCTTTATTCTTACAATCTCTGTCTTGTCTTTGTGTGTGTTCTTGCAGCAGCAGGAGATCAAGTTATTACAGGTTTCAAACGAGTACGACTCCTATTTCTTTCTATATATATATATTATTTTTTTTCTTTGCTTCTTGCTTTGGACTTGTTGAATCCAATATTATTATTATTATTCCAGGAAATTGAATGGTGTTGGTCTCGAGGATCTGAGCTACACCGAGCTTGCTTCGCTTGAAAACATGTTAAAGGAGGGATACCGCATTGTGAACGAACAAACAGATGAGGTTGGTTTTATTTTTTCCTCTCTCATCGTCTTGCTTTGATTACTCTTGTTTAATAGTTAACCCTCCCTTCCTTCCTTTTGTTGCAGGCATACAACGAATTAACATGCAAGCTGGTAAATATTCTCATCTTGAGTTCAAAGTTCAACCCTCTTTTTTGTGTGTGTAATACATCGATTTTGACCCCTCGATTCCATTTCAGATTGTTGAGTGCGATGTTATGGGGTATGATTGGGTTAACGAAAAAGAGAAAGAGGATTTGGCCTACCAATCTCTTCTGGCAAAGAGAAGAAGAGTTATGAGGAACAAGGCTAGAGAACTCCGCCTCAGGCCTCCTCAAAAAATCCAACATCATCGTAGAGATGACCCTGAAGGACTGGTGAGTACATGCCCATCCATATTCTCTCACCTCAATATGCCTCTGTCGCCTCACATTAATAATTGCCTTTTTCTCTGTTCTTGCAGATGCTAGACATCGACGCTTTGAAGTTCGAGAAGGAGAGGCTACGTCTTTTAAACCAGTATTTGAGCTTTTTATTTATTTTAATAAAGTTGCAGTTTCTTTCTGTGTCTGTCTTTTTCATTTTTGGGAGGTGATCATTGCAGGAGAATGATTGGTAAAGAGCTTGACGGTATGAGTTACTTGGAACTGTATGTGTTTTGCTTTGAGATACAGCATGGTATGTTGGAAGCCGAAAAGATGAGGAAGATAAAAGGTGCCAGGCCGGTCAACATGGTAAAAATATATTATTTTACCCACTCTGTTTTTTTTTTCTTTCTCAATTGTTTAAAACTATGTTTCCTGACAATTTTTTTCCCTTGTTCACCAAGGAACCAATTTCCCCGGGACAGATATGATCGTGACTTTAGGTGGGGCAGGTTCTTGGCTCGTGACATTAAGAGAGAGATGGAAAATCGTTTTTGTTTAATAAAGAGAGTCTTGTATAATTTTATGGTGGTTCTGACTTTGTGTTATGTCTCTTTGGTGATGATATGATTAAAAGTAAAAGACACTTATTAACTATCTAAAATCCATATGTTAAATTTAGTTGTTGCAACTACGATTACATATGTGCAAAAGATCGAATTTGAAAATAAACTAGTATCCTTTTTACGTCTCATAAAAGAATCTTGGCTTTGTTACTATTGACTCTAAGAGCTTAAAAGGCTTCTTCTACCACTTTGCGTTATGTATAGCGCCATTATTGAGGGAAGATCAAACTCTTGTAAGGAGGTTCGCACCTGCTCTTCCAAGTCACTAATATCCGAATAGCAGCAACTGTGCCTCAGTACTCACGAACATGGATTTCGAACTTAATCCTTGTCTCTAGATTAAAATAAGAAAATACCTCTAAGGCTGAACTCTTCATTCGTTGTCCAATCTTTGATATTTTCTTTTGCCAGGTTAAAAGTAACATCACCAAAGTCTGTCCGATGAGGTTAACTTCACCGTGTCACCATGATTCTTAGGCCAATCCCGGTTGAGATGCTTTAGCTGATAACCCGCTCAGCCTCAAAACAGTGAATGCAGTTTCTTAGTTACATACAGCCCTGACTGAACATACCATTTTCTCTGAAGAAACATGGAAAGATGCTCTCAGATAGATCATGGAGAATTTATCTTTCTAGTGATACTAGCCACAATCACTGCATGGGTTTAGTAAAATCCCAACCTCCATGGTGAACTGCAGCTTCAGAAGTGAGTCTATGCTTCCATTTTAACCACACTTCCCAAGCTTCATTGGAAAGAACAAAGTTGAATATCTCCCATCACCCACCCACCCATAAGCTAGCAGCTCCTTCACTCTTCTGAACTTTCCCAAGGTTTCAAATCCGATAAGTTTACCGTAAAAATGGTTTTAAACTATTTTGTCAAAAACAAGTTCCAATATGAACATAGACAAGCAACTTTCATTTCACCAATATATGGATACGACTTGACCACAAGAGACGTATACCACTAATGCATTGAACTGATCTAGTAACACCCTGAATCACTTGAATGGATCGAGCGCAACCTAATCTATATATATAACTCAATACATTTTGAACCACAATGAGAGTGAATCTCCCCCCGTAGTTGCGCTAATGATTTAGATTCCTGCTTATTGGATACGATACTATTTCTAACCCTAAAACTATTACATTCGAAATTGATTTTTTTCTAACATTGGGATATGAATCATAACGATTGTGTTATATGCTCAGTAAATTATTATTTTTAAATCCTCCAACTTGATTTTCATATTGATCTCTTTGCACACATATCATAATTGTAGTTGCAATAACCCAAATGAAAACTGGAGCCTAACATGGATTTTAGATAGAATCTAGCAAAACCCTTAGTCTTTTAGTTTAATCATATCACCATAGAGACAGACATAACACAAAGTGCGAGAACTAAAAAAAAAAAAATTTCCAAGTACATAGTAGCCACGTCACAAGACTCACTTATCAAACAAAACGATATCAATCTTGACACGAGCGAAGAACCCTACCACGATCATATCTGTCCCAGGGAGATTGGTTCCTTGGTGAACAAGAAAAAGAAATTGTCAGGAAAAGAAGAAGAAATAGTTTTACAATTCAGAAAGAAAAAAAAAACAGAGCGGATAAAATAATATTTTTTTACCTTATTGATCGTCGGCTTTGGACGTTTGAGTCTTCTCCATCTCTTCAGCACGTTTGATCTTTCTCATCGCTTCGGCATTGATCATAGCACGCGATATCTCAAAGCCAAGCACATACAGTTCCAAGTAACCCATACCGTCAAGCTCTTTACCAACCATTCTCCTGCAGTGAGCACTTTTCAACAATGAAAAAGAGAGAAAAAAAAAAACTTAAAAAAAAAAATTATCATACTGGTTTAAAAGAAGTAGTCTCTCTTTCTCGATCTTTAGAGAGTCGATGTCTAACTTCTACAAGAACAGACAAAACGCAAATAAATGTGAGGCGACAAAGGAACATTGAGGTGAGAGAATATGGTCATATATATACTCACCAGTCTTTCAGGGTCATTGCTACGATAAGGTTGGCTTTCTGGAGGGCTGTATCCCAAAAACGAATTAATATGGTATAAGAGGTGGTCATAAAAACAACTTTTTTATTTTTTTTTTTACCTGAGGCGGAATTCTCTAGCCTTGTTCCTCAAAGTAGTTCTTCTCCCTGCTAGAAGAGACTGGTAAGCCAAATCATCTTTCTCTTTTTGCTTAAGCCATTCATACCCCAAAAGATCGTACTCAACAATCTGAAATGAAGGGGATGAGTGGTCAAATTGGGATACTGCAAAAGGGTTAAAACTTTGAACTCAAGATGAGATCTTTACCTGCTTGACTGTTAATTCCTCGTGTGCCTAAAACAAAAGGAAGGAAGGGTTATTAATTATTAAACAAGAATAATCAAACAAAGATGATTGCCTTGGAGAGAGAAAAAACAACTCAACCTCATCTGTTTGTTCCTCCACAATGCGGAAGCCCTCCTTCAACATACTTTCAAGTGAAGCCAGCTCGGTGGAGCTCATATCGTCGAGACCTTCACCATTCAGTTTCCTGGAATAATAAATAATTGTTTCCTTAAGTTCAAGAAAGAAGAGAATGGGGAAAGAAATATTGAGCCGTACTCGTTTGAAATCTGTAACAAATTGATCTCCTCTTGCTGCAAAAACACACAAGAAACATTATTAAAAAAAAAAAAAAAAGTTGTTGTTTCTCGTTTCTCAATATGAACATCGAGTGCATACCAATTCTTGAATAACTTGTAGACACTGGAGCCTTAGTTTTTCCGAACTGCGTGTAGTTCTGTACACGAAATCAACAACAACAAAAATCAAACCCTAATCTAGTCAGATTCTAGGATCCAGACCCTAAAGTTATTCAGATAATAACTAATTGAAATCGAATAGACAATCAAATCAATGAAACCAAAACCCTAAAAGCTAGAGAGATCACCTGACGTAATTAGACATATCTCTCTCTCTCGCTTCGGTCGCATAATGCTAACCTAGAAAACATCCTAATTTAGACTATCTATCATAATGGGCCCATCAAACAGGCCGCATCAAAAGAAACTCATTTTCTATAACATTGTTTTTTTTTTACCTCTTTTTCATTGTATATAGGTATTTTGATATTTTCACAGCTTTCACTGCCACATTCAACATCATCATCCTCCATTACTTCCCATTGTAAAGTTTCTCTGGTTTTCTCTTGAACAACTAACTTGACATACGCTACTACAATCCCCATGTACAGCACCTCAATGAAGTACATTACAGTACAGACATGATCAAACATAGAGCCACCAGGAACTTAAAGACATACACAACTACTACAGCCCTTGCTTGCTCCCACCAGAGACTGATTCGGATAACGACATCTCCTGATGTAGGAATGGACTTGAAAAATGTTTTAGAGCTTCGAACTTGAACTTCAATTAAAGAGACCATAAATTAGCCCTCTTTTTTTAATATAATTAAAAGCATCAGTAATGTTTTTGAATCACCAAACCAAACCATTTCTTGACTATTTAAGATATTCTAGAACACCAAACAAGAACTCAGCAAGAAAGATCCATACCTTGAAGAGAAAAATGTTTGATTATGGACGTAGCAAGAAACCAAGATTGAAATAAAGGAAAATAAATCAAAACCAGACGTAGGTAACAAGCAAGATGCAACATAAGTTTGTTTTTGAAGTTTGTTTATTAGCTATCTAGCCTAGCCACATAAGTTTGTTTTTGAAGTTCACTACTCACAAGCATGTATTGCTGTAGACATTTCAAAATAAATGAAAAACTTGCGCATGGAGTCAAAGAAGGGACTCTATAAAGCCTTTTTTTTATAACAGAGCGGCCGACTTCTGAAAGTGCTACTAGTGGTTTTGATGCTTAAGATCCTGGTTAGATATTCAACCCAATGCAAATCAAGGTGGCACACTCAGAGGATATGTAGAAGAAGCCTTAAGCTTTTGTTACTTGTATAGTTGTGAGAGATATAGATTATTAACAAAGTCAGAACCAACATATAATTAGCTAAGTACATAGTCACAAGACTCTCTTACTAAATGCCCACAAGAACCTGCCTTGCACTTTTTATCTTCTTATTCTCTTCTTCGGCTTTCAACATACCACTCTGTATCGCACAGCTAAGCACCAACAGTTCCGAATAACACATACCGTCAAGCTCTTTACCAATCATTCTCCTGTATATGCACACCACCACCCCCACAAAAAATGAAAACGAAAGACACAACAGAAGAAGAAAAAACTTGGGAGGAATGAATTGTTATCACATACTGGTTCAAAAGCCGTAATTTCTCCTTCTCCATCTTCAAACATTCGATCGTTAACATCTGCAATAATCAGACAAACGCAATGTGAAGCATAAGCAACAGTGACATGAGAGGTGAGAATATATACGGGCATCGATATATATCGATACTCACCAGTTCTTCATGGTTATAGCTATACTCCTTTTGGGTATCTTGAGGGCTGTATCCACAAGAAGTTATAACTTCATGTTCTTAGAGTTGAAACACAAGGGCGAAGTAGTTTAATTCAAGAACTAGAATCTGTAGAGAAGTGTCTTTGGGGTCCTGGTTTATAGTTGGTCATTAGACATGGAGGTTTTGACCATTTTGTAGGAATCTGAGGAAGAAATTCAATTTTGTGTTGAGAACTTCCATGTAGATTAATCGTGAATTTTTAATTTTCTTAAAAAAAGGTTAAGTTATAGTTTCAATCCGGGTGATACAACCAAAATAACTCGACGTCTTACTGGTTAGAGGCTTCTTGAGATTGATTGGTTCGGTAGCATATAGCTAGCACCCACTAAACATCATATATACAAAAGGAAAATGAACCAAGCTGCTCACTTAGGTAAAATATCTAACGAAATTAGTATTCGGTACATGGAAAATATATACCCCTCTTCAGAAGTAAGCACACTACAAATTGACTTAATTAATGATTCCTAGATAAACATCCCAGTGGTCTTTGGCTATTTAGTGGTATAAACAGTGAATGGCGATTTCTCAAAATTGACTGATTAAGTAAGGTTTGGAACCTGATAGACTAAAGTTTCTGTATTTGTGCAAAAACTATAGACGAAACCGATCAAGTAGTGTTTTTTTCTGGGTAGTTGTTGCTTGTGATTTGCTCATTCTTTCTCATATAAGTTGTAAAGAAATTTTTAATATTTTGTTACTTTCTTGCAGAAACTCTTATTGCGAAAGTTGAGAACAGAAATTATAAACAAAACCATAAGCATAGTCTAAAATCATAAACATGGTAATCATAAGAGCATATTAAGAAAAACCATAAACATAGTCTAAAATCATAAACATGGTCTCAAACTCATTACAAAAGGTCCAGACTTTCTTTATTAAAAAAAAAGAAAAGAAAAGAAACCTCAAACATCAATAGCAATAAGCCTAGCTTGAACGTTACCGAAGAGTCCTACCACGCGGTTGAGGAGATCACCCTCTCCACTTCATTCAAGCCATCCAGCTGGACCAGAGCTATAGCTCGGTGGATAGCAATGATGGGAGAGGGAGGGAGCTTGATTGTTAGGAAATCTGGCGAAAACTTCAACAAAACTGGAAAAAAACTTGATTAAAAAACCTAAACTCCTAAAGATTTAATCTTTGATAAGAAAATGAAAGTCAAATGAGGTTACCTTGGGCTACCATAGAAAAAAGGCGGCCGGTAGCAAATCACAGCCATTTGTCCACCCAAATTTTCATCCAGATGTTGCACTTGATTCCTCATGTAAAGAGTGTGCTATCTGTAAGTTGTGTTACTCATGGTGATGAGAGAGAGGGAGAGAGAGAGATAGGTGTTTTGGGGGGGAAGTGGAAAAGGAGTGGTCTTTGCTTTGGGGAAGAAGAAATTGTGAGTTTTCGTTGAGTTTATATAGATTAAAACAGGCGAGAGAGGTCTATTCACATGTTTTCTTACACTTTACGAGGAACTTTCTCAGCATCAATTCATTATTAGAAAAAAATTCCAAATTGATTGTCGTCATCCCTTGATTAAGATAATTAATGTTCTAATCATAAGTTGTAAATCATTAATCAAGTGATGTGGTGTTTAAAAGATGATGAATTTTATAAGTAACCATCTATTTATACTAAAGTTTTTTCTATTCATTTTTTGTGCACTCCATTTTTTACCAAATGCTAGAGAGATTCAATGTTAATGACCTTGGTCAGAACATTGATTCTATTAAACAAAATTTGGCAGCAATCAATCTGAAAGATTTACCTCACAATGAGTTGAGAGGTTTGTCGCCAACGAATGATTAAGCTAATCAATGTTCTGATCATAGGTTGTAAATCGTGAATCACTAGTGATGTGGTGTATAAAAGATGATCAATTTTATAAGTCAATGACTTTTATAAACTGCACACTCAAACAAGATAATAAAAAAAATTAGATTGTTTCAAAACTATATTATTTGTTTTTCATCGCAATGAAAGTTCTCTCTAACTTTTATTGACACTCCAAACCATTTTGATATTATTATACCAATTTGCATCTAAGAACGCATTCACATTTTATGGTACACCAGATAACTTATTGCTAAGACAATTGATGAGATCTCCACAATGGAAATGCTCAAGATTCAAGTCTTGGTATAGTTTGCTAGATTTCAAGTTTTCATATGTAAAACTATATAAACCCATGTTAGACTTTAGTTTTCAATTGAATTAACGATTATATTTGTTAAAGATCAAAACAACCATTTAAAATGAAAATAAACAGTATAAATAGAAAGAATTAAAGAAAGAATCATTTGGGCTTTCATCCTAAGTTTCACGTAATGGGCTTTTCATGATAAGTCCTCCAATTATTTAACATCTGTAACTTTCCCGTAATGGGCTTTTCTTCTAATATTGTCGTTTTCCCCATTCTTTTCTTGACGAAGAAGTGAAGCAATATAAAAATTAGGGATGGAATGGATTGACAAAAACGAGAAAGAGGATTTTGCCTACCAATCGCTTCTAGCGAGGAGAAAAACAGCTTTAAGGAACAAGGCTGGAGAACTCCGCCTCAGGTAAGTAGGCTTAGCTATATATGTTCATTTTTATTTTCCGCTTTAAGAACATGAAATCATCATCTTCTTGTGGATACAATCCTCAAGACAGCCAACAGGAGCATAACCAAAAACTGATGAGTATGGGTGTCAATATTCACCTCTTATGTCATGTAGCTTCACATTGGGTTTTGTCTGTTTCTTGCAAATGTTAACCATCGAGTCTTTGAAGATCGAGAAGGAGAGATTACGGCTTATGAACCAGTATGTGAACGAACATTTTTAAATATTATTTTCTGCTGTTGTGTCTGTGTGTTTTTATTGTTTGGGACGGGAAGAGCATGTTAAGAGAGACCATAGAACCGTTTTTTTTTTTTTAGTAAGAGAGTCTTGTGACTATCTACTTATATAATTTAATGGTTAGTTCTAGCTTTGTGTTAAAATACATGTCTCTTTGTTTGGTGATGATTAAATTAAAGACTTATGGGTTTTGCTAGATTCTATCTAAATTCATGTTAGGCTCCAGTTTTCAACTGAGTTGCAACTGCGATTAGATATGTGCTAAAGAGCTCACTTTGCTGTTAGGATAAAAGCTCAAGGGCAGAGGCATGGGTCAAACATAGCATCCATGGGTTCTTGAATCTTGAGCATGCTCTTTGAGAAGATCTTACTTTGTGGTTAGGAAACCATGATGTCAGAGTTAAAAACACAAGATGAGAACAATATAGAATTGATTGTCATTTTTATTCTATAATCCTGGTATAAAAAAAATTCGGACCTGTAACGATCTAACTATTTTGAATTATTTAAGCTTCAATTGGTGACCATTTATTGAATGGAATAAATAGAAAAAAAATGTTGAAGAAAAATTCATGTGAAGAAATGATTTGGAAAAAAAAATTGAAAGAGAGGAATAAACGTTCCATATCATAATTAGAGGAAGAAAATATTTCTTCATTAATTCAGTTATATATGAGGAATAATGAGGAATGAAATGGGACACATATGTTAATAGTTTGACAAAAAAAATCAACTTAATTGGTATCATTTCTGAGGAACAACAAATTCAATCATATTTTTTTCCTAAAACATAATCACCAATTACAGCTATTGAGACTTCTTTGATCTATCTAAAACTTTAGGAGGAAACATGAACATATTTGCCAACAAATCCAAAACCGACAACGAAAAAGGCTCTAGGTTGGAATAGAAGGTACACATAGAGTATGTTCTCTTCCCATATATGATGTCGTCGTCCGCAGAACAATAGTTAAGCTCTAACAAATGCCACTATAAAACAATAATAACATCTGGTTTAAGCTCACACTCGGTTCAAATAAAATCCAATATGAAACGGTTATAGACTATTTGAAGAAGCTTAACTGAGTAAAAAGGCAAATACGAAGTACATTATTGGTTGTCCAATCTCTAATATATTGTCAATATATACAGCTTGCTTCTGTCCTTCTTCCTTCTTCACAAGTTTAATAATGATTTCTCTTTCACATATCTTCTTATTCTCCACGAGTCAAACAATTATTTTTTCTTCACGAGCTTCTTTTTATTCACTAGCAATAAAAATCATGTTCGAAATGTAACTGCCCGTAAAAGTAAGTTCATATATGCAAGCAATTGAACTTCTTAAAGAAAAAACTAATGAAATTTTTGAAGTATGCGGTGACGAGGTTGCCGTTTTATGTTTCATAATAACAACATTTTCCCAAGGTGTGAGAGAGATTCAATGTTAATGTAAGAACATTGATTGTCTTAATCAAGCTTTGGCAGCAATAAATAAGGATGATTTATCTTTTAATTGCTCATCTAATTGTTTAAATTTTACGAGGAACTTTCTCAGTATCAACGCATTATAAGAAAAAATTTCAAAATGATTATCGCCAACACTTGATCAAGATAATTAATGTTCTAATCATAAGATGCGGAATCGTCAATCAAGTGATGTGGTGTATAAAAGATGATGAATTTTATAAGTAACCATCTATTAATACTAAATTTTATTCTATTCATTTTTGTGCCTCCACCTTTTACCAAAAATGGATAATGACTCAGTTAAAAGATATTAATTTGGTTAATCTTAAGATACTAATTTTTATAAGTTGCACAATCTAACAAGATAATAATAAAATAAATCTTAGATCGTTTCAAAACTAAATTATTTGTTTTTCAACGCAATAAATCCGTCCAACCTGTCCAACCTCTAATAATTGATCGTCAATATATGCGTGTGGACGACTGGCTTATCTCTTCTTCTTACGTAGTGTGAAATGAATGCAATTATGGTTTGATTTAGAAAAGGGAAAATAATAAAAGTTATCTTTATATGAGATGGCCACTCAAGGATGTGCTAAGTCTTCCGGGGGCCAAAGGAAAAATTCAAAACAAAATGTGACTTTTTACACATGTATATATACAGCCAAAGATTAGTATGTCTATAAAATGTGTATATTTTGGAGTGAAAAAAGAGTATAGTAGATCAAAAATAAAACAGATAATTCCTTTAATTAAAAACATAATTTCTTAAAGTTTTTTTGTTGCTAAACATCATTTCTTAAAGTTGTGAACATATATATATATATATATATATATTTTTTTTTTACCTCAACTAATTGTGATTGCCAAAACTGATGAAATCTCCGAAGTATGCGGTGACGAGGTTGCCATTTTATGTCTCATACTAACAAAGTTTTGCCAAGGTGTGAGAGAGACTCATTGTTAATGACTTTCGTAAGAACATTGATTCTCTTAATCAAATTTTGGCAGGAATCAATAAGGATTATTTATCTCATACTGAGTTGAGAGGTGTCTTCACCCGTTTGCTTAAAATTTACGAGGAACTTTCTCAGCATCAACTCATTATAAGAAAAAAATTTCCAAAATTATTGTTGTCAACACTTGATCAAGATAATTAATATTCTAATCATAAGTTGTGGAATCGTGAACAATTGATGTGGTACATAAAAGATGATGGATTTTATAACTATATAACAAAGTTTTGCCAAGGTGTGAGAGAGACTCATTGTTAATGACTTTCGTAAGAACATTGATTCTCTTAATCAAACTTTGGTAGGAATCAATATAGATGATTTATCTCATACTGGGTTGAGAGGTATGTTCACCCGTTTGCTTAAATTTTACGAGGAATTTTCTCAGCATCAACTCATTATAATAAAAACTTTCCAAAATGATTGTCGCCAACATTTGATCAAGATAATTAATATTCTAATCATAAGTTGTGGAATCGTGAATCAATTGATGTGGTGCATAAAAGATGATGGATTTTATAAGTAACTATCTATTCATACTAAATTTTATTCTTTTCATTTTTTGTGCACTCCAATTTTTATCAAAAATGGATAATGACTTGGTTAAAGATTATAATTTGGTTAAAATTAAGACAATGATTTTTATAAGTTGCACAATTAAACAATATAATAAGAAAATAAATCTGACATCGTTTCAAAGCTATATTATTTCTTTTCAACGCAATGAACCCGCCCAACCTTCAATAATTGATTGTCATGTGAACGACCGGCTTCTCTCTTCTTCTTTGTTCAATCTAAATTCAATTATTTTTCTTCTCAATTCTTTTCCTAAATTATTCTCCCAACCAAGTCATGAAATAAAACGTAAATGTACGCATCCGAAAGACTCTAACGACAATGAGACTTCTTAAGGAGAAGGCTGACGAAATTGTGGAAATCTGTATCAGCCTTGAGACTTTTCAAGCTTTGATCAAGCGTTGGCAGACATAGATTTGGTAAATCTGTCTCCTCATGAGCTCAGAACTCTTTGCAACTGTTTGCAAAGTTTTCACCGTGAACTAGCTAAAAATAATTATAAGCAAGCTTAGTTGAAAGTATTTAAGCCTAAGAATAATGTATCTTCTTTTGAAGACTAAGACTAAATGACTGTTAGTTGTTTGTAAGCTGGAATGTGTTAAAAATAATGTATGTTGTCGTTTGTAAGCTGATGTATTTCCTTTGAAGACTTGTTGTTATCTTAATGTAGTATTATCTTCATGTATTTATATCTATTTAATGCTGGATCTACAATTTTATTTAAAGATGTATTATCTAATCAACACTGACTCTTGTATTCATATAATAACAATTTGATATTGATATATAGTAAAAATTTCTATAAATCAATACTCAAAACTTAATAACACATTAAACTAATAAAGTTCATTCATCTCAAATTACGCTGACTCAAAATATGACACAAATCAATAAAGATATAAAAAATAAAGTGTGAAAATTTCTATGAATTAAATTAATTAACACATTAGACTAATAAGGTTCACTGATCACGAATTAAGTTGATTTAAAATATGACACAATTCAATAAAGAAACAAAAAAATAAAATTTTCAAAATTCTATAGATAAATAGACACATTAAACTAATAAAGTTCATTGATCTCGAATTAAACTGATTCAAAATCTGAAACAATTCGATAAGGAAATAATAAGATAATTTTTTTATTGAAATGTAGTTTTGTTTGTTATTATTCACATTGAAATTTATCTATAATATTCTTACCACTTAAATATATGTTTTATCAGTTTACATCTAAAAACACATTCATATTATATAGTATATATTTTTATACACCAAATAATCCAATAATAACAATATGAAAACCAAATTTTATTAATATATAAACTGTGAAAACAATTTTATTTTGAGTGTACATAAAAACGTATTTACCTAAATGTATGCTCTCCAAAGTCTTTTCATTGTTACTCATATTGAATAATTGATGGTGGTCATTATTGGAGAATAATTGGTAAAGAGCTTGGTGATGTTTAGCTATGCGATACGACGTGATCTGGTGAAAGCGATTAAAAGAGGATGAGGACAAAACGGGCAAGATAAATCAACAATGTAAGTATTGATTCATTGTTTTATGAATTATAAAATTATCTTTATTTTTAATGCTGGATAATTATAATATTACAACTATGAGAAATATTACAAAAGTGATTCTAAAGTCGGCAATTATACATGATGTATGATGATTCATGTCCAGATGAACCATCCTGAATGGTGACGGGCTCAACAGCCTGAGAGCTACACCGAGCTGGCTTCGCTTGAAAGTATTTCAGTAGTCCACTTATCTGCTTACATAGACCAACTAGAATTCATGAAACAGAAGAGATGTCAAATAATTTGTCGTATAACAAGATTTGGTTTCACATAAGACATTTTTCTTTTCCAAATATGCTTGGAAAGATGTTCAAATTAAAAATACAAAATGTGAGTTGAAACTTCTTTAGTTTTGTCATTTAACAGGAAACCCACTTTTAATTTTTCCCGGTTGCTAATTGCCTACTAGTAACCGTTTTTACAATTATGGGCTTATTAAGCCCATATTGATACTTAACAGACCCCCAACAAACTCTAGCCCCATCTAGAATAACACTATTGTGGTTTTCATTTAAGCGAAAGAAAAATCGTCGGTCGACACGTGCGGGAAGTCATGGATCAGCACGTGTGAACTCCACTTCGCCTCTCTCATTGGGTCGTACGTAACTAGCCGATTCCTTCTCTCACTCTACTCTCTCTCTCTCTTCACACACTCTCTCTCATTAAATTAAAAAAAAAAAGTCAAGATTATTTTTTGTTGTGAAGTAAAGTGTTGCTTTACAGCTCAACTTCGTCGTCTTCTTCCTCTTCCTCCTCGCGGATCCATTCTCAGGTTCGTGTTGATCTCCACCAAAACAGTGTGAAATCGATTTCGATTTCGCTTTAAGATTGTTTCTACGGATTTGACTCTTATAGTTCTTCTACTTGTGATGTGACTGCGATGATAGTTAGAATTTTTTAGCTGCCCCGAGGTTGTTGTTAGAGAGGGAGTTTAGGTTTATTGGAATTGGAATTGCGGTTTCGATTTCTAAATTTGGAAATTGGGAGATGGATTTGATCCGATTTGGGATAGTAACTTCACTGTTGTTCTGAGTTGTGTAGATGTAGATGAGAGCCATGCAAAGGTTATTGTGGGAAGAATTGAGGATTTAGAAGTCTGGTTATAGCTAATTTTGAAATTTATAAGGATTCCACATCTTGATGTGTGTAATTGAGGATGTGAATAGAAGAATCTGGAAGGTTATATAGTTCAGTGTAGTTTCTTATTAAATTGTTTGTTTTGATTGAGAGTTTTACAATCTAATGATAGAAGTTTCTTTTATCTTCAGGAGCCTCTTTGTTCTTTGAAGATAGACAGAGAATCATTGAGAAGCTGAGAGTATATGCGCTACGAGGGGAAGATTCTGGAGGTTGTTCTTTCAAATGATTGGCAGTAACTACATTGTGTTTCAACGGTTCCATGATGGGCGTCTGTCTGATGAACCCATGGCTTCTTTTCATCACATTTCTTTGTGCACTCACCAATGTTATTGAAGCGCTTAGTCCTGATGGTACAGCGATTTTGTTTCCTTAAAGTCTCTTCCATTGTTTGTGTGTTGACAAGAATTATGATCATCATTTCCTTCTCTAGGTGAGGCGCTTGTGAGCTTTAGAAGTGGAGTTTCTAAATCTGATGGTAACATCAGTGAGTGGAGACCAGAGGATCCAGATCCGTGTAACTGGAAGGGAGTGACTTGTGATTCCAAAACAAAAAGAGTTATAGCCTTGTAAGTTTGGTTTTAACTACTTTTTTCGTTAGTATATGCTATATCCTGAATCTTTTGTTGATCTCTAATGTTTCTTGTGCGCAGGAGTCTTGCTCATCAGGAATTAAGGGGACCTTTACCTCCTGAGCTTGGAAAACTGGATCAGTTGAGGCTTTTGTATGTGCTAACCTTATTTGAACTTTATTGGTGTTTAGAGTATACTCTCCTTCATAACCTTTCTATATTCCCTTGATATCGCAGAATGCTTCATAACAACGCGTTATATGGCTCAATACCTGCAGAATTGGGAAATTGCACAGCTTTGGAGGGAATGTAAGTGCTTTCCCATACCAAATTACCAATACTTATGCTAATTACACTTGATTTCTGAAGTTTTCTTTTTTGTTTCTAAAATTTTTAGAATTTTTGTGACAAAAAAGAAACAGATTATGTTTTCCCACAATTGATTTTATTGTGTGATATAAGATTGTGTCTTATGAGTGATGATAAACCAATTGTTCGGTTAAAAGTTTAGCTGGCTTACAGGAACCGGTTTGAAATTGTTTTCATGCAGATACTTGCAGAACAATTACTTGACTGGGCTAATCCCAAGTGAAATGGGAAATTTGTCTGTGCTTAAAGATCTGTACGCACTCTTTCTCCCTTTCCTTCTAAATAAGTTTGTTTTTTTTGGCCTATGGAGGATCTTCTATTTGTTGTTCATTAGCTACTTTCACCATTTAGGATCTTCTATAATCATATACTGAATCACATGAGGTTCCATGCAGTAACAACATTAGATTTTTGAAAGTACTTGTTCCTCTAGTTTTGGCAAACCTCGAAACATACAATGTATTTGACAGCATTGTGGCTATTCCTAGATCCTAGCGGTTGAGAATCTGGTAGTAACATAATTAGTTCCCAACATACCTATTGTGAACTTTGTTATGGGTGAAAAACTCTCGAATACAATGATGAGTGCTGTGAAATTTATGCTACAGCTTCACTCAGATCAAATGGACATATGATTTGAATTTTTCTGAACTACTAACTGATTTTCTCTTTTTTATTAAGGGACATCTCAAACAACAATCTCAATGGAGCTATCCCTGTTTCACTTGGGCAGTTGGAGAAGCTTACTACTTTGTGAGTGAGCTAGGCTTATCTTGCGTATTTGCAAACATGTGTATATCTTTCTAGTGTCTTTGTTGCTAACTAGTTGATTCTTTTTTTTTTTTGAAGCAATGTCTCAAACAATTTTCTGGAGGGGAAAATACCTTCTGATAGCTTACTCGCCCGATTTTCAAAGGATTCGTAAGTATACTTCATCTTTACCTCTTTCTCCAACCAGAGTTGTGGTAATAAAGAGGGAGATATCTCTCTACTGTCTATCTGGCAAAACAGTTATATTTTCGTGACTCTGCACAACAGCATCATGTTGCTAGCTTTGTACCAGAGTGTAGTTGAAAACAACGGAACCTTGAACTGAATTCGTTACTCTTTGCAGCTTCATTGGAAATCTTAACTTGTGTGGAAAACAAATTGATGTGGTGTGCAAAGATGACAGGGGAAACTCTTCTACTGGGTATACGGCAGGTAAAGCAGCTGTGGTTTAATCAATTTGCCTGTCAGGGTATATGGATTATAGCTTAGATTTTTACTAATCTGTAGAATTCGTTGTGACATGAGTTTGGTTTTTGGTCTCCAATACATAGGCCAAGGAGGTAAAACCGTTAAGCTACTTATAAGTGCATCAGCTACTGTTGGTGGGTTGCTCCTAGTGGCGCTCATGGGTTTTTGGGGATGCTTTCTTTATAAAAAGCTTGGAAGAGTTGAGATTAAAAGCCTCGCAATAGATGTCAGTGGAGGTGAGCCATGCATTCTCATTGTGTGGATATCATCTCTCAAAAAAATTTGGAATTCAGTTTTATATATTACTCTCAAAACTTGACACCATGAGAAACGGTTTGATTTTATCCAGGTGCGTCTATAGTGATGTTCCATGGAGATCTGCCATACGCTTCTAAAGACATTATCAAGAAACTGGAAGCTCTTAACGAAGAGCATATAATAGGCTGTGGAGGTTTCGGAACAGTTTACAAACTGGACATGGAGGATGGCAATGTTTTTGCGTTGAAGAAAATTGTAAAGTTAAACGAAGGGTTTGATAGGTTTTTTGAAAGGGAGCTTGAGATTCTCGGAAGCATCAAACATCGTTACCTTGTGAATCTACGTGGATACTGCAATTCACCCACATCGAAACTTCTCCTCTATGATTACCTTTCTGGTGGTAGCCTTGATGAAGCTCTTCATGGTAAAATCCTCAACCTTCATCTTTACAGGCTTTCCCATAACCAAGAAGTATGATTCTATTGAGTGAAAATGTTTTAAATGTGCAGAGAGAGGCGAGCAGTTGGATTGGGATTCACGAGTAAATATAATAATAGGAGCAGCAAAAGGGTTAGCATACTTGCATCATGATTGTTCTCCTAGGATTATACACCGTGATATAAAATCAAGCAACATTTTACTCGATGGAAATCTTGAGGCTCGAGTATCAGACTTTGGACTTGCCAAGCTGTTAGAAGACGAAGAATCTCATATCACAACCATTGTTGCAGGCACATTCGGTTACTTGGCTCCAGGTACTTAAACTGCACTAGTAAATGCTTTTTAGCTTTCTAATTCTTACTCATCATGAGTGGTGGTTGCAGAGTATATGCAAAGCGGTAGAGCGACAGAGAAAACCGATGTATACAGTTTCGGAGTTTTGGTTCTGGAAGTCTTGAGTGGTAAACTTCCCACAGATACCTCCTTCATCGAGAAAGGCTATAACGTTGTTGGTTGGGTAAGCATAACGAGTTTGGTAATAAACAATATTTTGACTAGTGAAAGCTTTAATTTGTGTTTTCATACAATCGTGCAGCTAAACTTCTTAATCAGCGAGAACCGTGCACGGGAGATCGTTGATAGAAGCTGTCAAGGAGTAGAGACAGAGAGCCTTGATGCTCTTATCTCCATAGCAACAAAGTGTGTTTCTTCAAGTCCAGACGAGCGGCCCACAATGCATAGAGTTGTTCAGTTACTTGAGTCTGAAGTTATGACTCCTTGCCCTAGTGAATTCTACGATTCCAGCTCCGATTGACAAGCATTCATAAGTCTCTTCTTCACGATTTCGGTTTCCTGTTACACATCAAAAGGTTCGAGCAATTCATCTTTTTTGTATTTTTTGGAATGTTTTCTTGAATTGGTTAAACTCTTTCATTTGATCTGAATATGAAACTAAATTGTATATGTTCATTGTAGAAACACTGTTATGTTTCCATAAGAAGAATCTGAATAATAATTTCTTGTTTTTTATATTTTCCATGTTCGTACTTCAAGTCACAAAATATCGAAGGGGAAGTCTATAGAGAATAGTGTGACATTTATTTAAACTTTGATTATGATTTTAATATCACCCATAACATTGGTCTCATATAGTATTGGTACAATCCATACGTTGAAACGAGACTCTCCTCGTCTCCAAGTCATACCCAACGAGAAAATCCATCTGAGCAAAGTTCCCAAAGATGGCAACTTCAGTGGTCGGAATCATACTCATGCAAACCATATCTTCACTCATTTTCACAAACGCATTGAGAGGACTCAGCTTCACGTCGGCTCCGGTGAAGTGCACCGTTATCTCCGGCAAACCAATCTCCGCACTCCCTGACTTGAAACAATGCGACAAAAGCCCCTGTGGATCACTCACACGCTTAGCTCCAGTCACTGCTTCCTCCACCGCCTCGCCAAACCTATCGTAAAAACCAGATTCAAGTAGCGTCAGCGTCGTCCCCGAGTCTATTATAATGTTCCCCTCCATCGATACGTCGTCGTTGTTAGGGTAATAAGAACTCCCGGTGTACGGAATCTTGGTTTTGCCGACGGAGATAGCTTCAAGCGTCAAGTAATAATAAGTCTTCGGCTCTTTATCGACCAACGGAGTAGATATCACCACGTGGGAAGAAGCCTTGTCAAGACCGGAAGGAATCGAGCTTGTTCCTAGGTTTATCACGCTTGTGCCGTTTACGGTAGATGACTTGTGCGACAAGCAATAAGAGAATTTATTAGAAATCGACGAACCAAGCTGGGAGATTAGTGATAACTGACCGCCACCGAGACCGATGATACCAGAACCAGTCTCGTCGAAGGTACCACCGTTGTTATAACCGCAACCGAACACAGTTCCGGGGAAAGAGACAGGAGAGCCTGAAGCAGAGTCAATAGATATAGTTTCTGTCGCCACGTCACCTTTAGTAAACGACTTGTCTCCGTACGAGTAACGGTATTTGCATACGTTTTTAGACTCGTCACAACCACGTTCGTTGGTAGATAAAGAGTTGCAGTGACGTGACTCGCAAGGAAGGCTCTTGTAAGTAGAGGATTGAGTTTTGTCGAAGATTGGACCGTTCTCTTTGTAACACTGTTGACATGGTTTGCATTGGATCCAAGTTAAGTCACTCCCTGTGTCGGCTATCGCGAGGACGTTGATTGGTGGAGTACCGATGGTGATACTCATGAAGAACTCGCCTCCTGCTCCTATTAGACCGGACTGGAGATCGGTTTGGGAGTTGTGGTTGAAGCGGCGGGAACGAGAGATGGAGCGGAGGAAAGCTGCGTTGAGACGGTCAGTGAGGTTGGTTTGTGGGTTGTAGAGTGGGGAATGGGGAGAGTCACGGTGGATAAGCTCGATGGTGAAGTTTTTTGGGTTAGTAGATGAAGAGAGAGTCATCAAGAAGAAGAAGAATAAAGTGGTGAGGAGAGTTAGGGTTGTCATTTTTGAGTTTGGAGAGATTGTGGTGGAAAGAGTGTGGTGGATAAGGAGTATTTATATACAAAGAGATTGAGAAAATGAAGAGATGGAAAGAGTGATGAGTTACTAGCTACGTGAGCAGGAGATGAAAGTCTGAAAGGCAATTTTAATTAGCTTTTAGTTTTTCTCATTAAGGCTAATAATTTAAGGTGGGACTAGTGGGGATGTGGGTGAATTAATATCTTGATTTTATGGAAACGTCTTTTAACTTGGACTTGAGAGATTTAGATATATATATCATCTCTTTCTTGTAATTATGTGATTATATGCTATGCATTACACTATAGCACAAGCTATGATCAGTTTGTTATATAGTTCTTCCGAGACAAATTAATTTGGTTTTGAGGTCAGTGACTTGGTCACAGTTTAATGATTTTTAGTTGTCTTTCTTGGTGTCGTAAACATGTAAAACAAAGGAAATATTGTTAGTGTAGAATCTCATATTTCATATCATGTAATCATCATGGCTGGTTCTATGCATAGGCAAGTGAAACATTGACCTCCCTCAAAATTTAAGAAAATAAAAGATAATTTATATTCTATAAACTTCCAAGTTTATAAATAAAATTTACTAAAACTCTTAATAAATTTTATAGTCTCTAAATTCCCAGAATGTGCATGATAGTCATGATGATAAGATTAAACTATAAACAATATTGCATTTACACTATGACAATATTATTATACATAATTCCAAAATGGTGTTATGTCAATACATGAAGAAGATAGAGTCCAGTGTTTCATGTACTTACCATAGAGTCCAGTGTTTCATGTGCATTAATTAGTTTAAAAGAAAGAACAAAGAAGTTGAACATTTGATAAAAGAAAAGGAGAACATCAATTATCATGGAGTCCTGAGAGCTGGGAGATTAATATGAATATCTGCACGAGCTTTATTGAAATCCAGTTCAGGTTCTTTTGTTGGAATCTGAAGTGTATATGGGTTCCTAAACTACTTATCTATATACCTCACGGAATCTTCTGTGATTGCTATCTAAGTTTAGATGGGACTAGCTCATTCATGTGATTAGTTGGAGAGAGTAACCAACTCCAGAGCTCACCAAATACCGAGGCTAGTTGCAAATCCAAGTAATTCAGTAGTTAGGAAAGAGTTAATTAATGATAACCATATTGTATCAAGTACCATCTTAATTAGCATATAAATATTTAGAACTTCTCTCATAGTCCCACTCATCAAAATTGTGTTACCACCTTCTTAAGTAACCATTTGGAAGAAAATGACGCAGACGCATCTTTGCTTGATGAACAGCTTGAAAATGCATTATCAGATGAATGAGTCAGGCATTCATTTCCTCGGCTACTTCCACTTTCTTCTTCTAAAAATTGATTGTCGTTGATACAAGTTTTTGTTTTGTCAAAAGGATTTTGATACAAGTTTCTATGCCATCATGCACACATCATCATTCCTGATAATAAAACCGAGAAAATATTGTCACTTGAACAGATAAATTTAACACGCTCTCAATCAAAACAGTGAATGTACGTAAACAATGTTAATTGTAAACTATAACAGAATTCTTAGAGTCAAATTTTGTAAGGATATATAGCGTTTGAGCTGGAAAAAAAACATCTTTTTAAATTTAGGCGATTTACTCATAGTTTTTAAATAAATCTCATATCACGTCATGTACAGTCTAGTTTTAGTGTAAATTTTACCTTAATTTTTTTGGTTCATCTGTCACTTTTAGAAATGTTTGGCATGCTCCTACTAAGGTCATAACATGATGGATTTACAACCTTGACACTATGTCGTATATAGTCACGCCACTTAGTTCAAGCCCCATTAGTGGTTAAAATTCCAAAAACATGATGTTTTGTCCAGTCCCTCGTTGGCAGGAGATAGGCTATGTAATACATTCTTTATTTCATCGTGTCTTTTTTTTTTTTTGGAAACATCTTTGTCTTTTTGTCCCAAAGATACATGTTTTTTTATGTAACAGTTCAAAAAAGGATTTTCTATTTATTTGCAAGATAAATTTATCTAATGAACGGACCCATGGAACTTGATTCTCTTCACATTTTTTTCCCCTTCACATATAGAATATGGTAAAACTTATTAGTACTGAAACGTGTGACTATGTGTATACTAAAGTATTAAGGAGACACAGGGTGGATATAATCTTTGAACAGATTATACAACCCTAACCTTCGAGAAACAAAGGGTACAAATTATATATTTGTTTGAAATGAAGTTATGGTTTTGATTACAAAAGTGGAAAATAATAATTACTCTGATCTAATAAGAGTTAGAAATAAAGAAAAGTTGTCTTTTCTTTTTTTGATAAAGGGCTTCAGAAAAGTAGATTTTTTCAGCTTTAAAAAAAAAGCAGATTTTTCTTTAATATAAAACGTACGTGAAATCGAATATATAAGTATGATCGATATGTATAAGCTTTGATGTGAGGGTTCCTTTGAATAG